GCTTTAGACGTCCACGCCGCTGTCGTATAACTTTTATGACGTCGTCTATTGTTTTTCGTTTTAAAGTTATTATTTTAACACAGTTACTGAGATAAAAATCGTAATGAAATGGAAATCTGTGGGAAAAGATAAGTTTTTATTTCATCATCACCATGTTTTGAAAACCCAATGGATACTACAAAGACATAAAAAATTACGACTATTCGAGCGATGTCAAACTTTTGTGTGTGTACTTTCATAAATATAAATAGAACAAACTTATACAAATGCTGTCTAGTTTACACGAGCAGTACACGTTTAAATAAAACACTTTAACGGTTTAAAACGGTCACCCTGTGACCACGGCAAGCGTCAGAAACGTCGGGCCGTAGTTAAAATAATTTTCAAATAAGTTTAACTAATGTATATCGCATTTTAAACCGTTCACGTGTTTTATCCATACAACCTTTGAATTACTGGTAAGCGGGTATACTAATCATAGAGTCCAATATGAAGGTGTCCTTTAGTTTTTTTTAAGTTCAGCAGGTAGACTACACGAGATAGAGAATACACGATTAACTAACCTGCTAACAGCTAGTGATTATAAAAGTTTGGTTGTGGTGCAATTAAAAAACCTATCTCAACATACTAAGTTTGTGTTTTATATTTATGTAGCGTCATAATAAGAATCTTTTTGGTACGGAATGACAGTTAAATTGCAATTTTGCTATTGTGAAAACAGCCTCATGTTATACACCTGTAATATCAATTATTGTTTTATCTACGTCTTAAGCGTCATGCGTTATCAATGTTATTAGTCTTTAGTTTACAGGTAACTAAAACTACATAAAACATATTGAGGATTGCTTTATAGGCAGTGTTTAATCTAAAGACTTTTCCGCAATATAAAATCACTACCTAAGTAACTACATAAGTTCATTATCAATTTTGAAATATTTTCTTAATAGGTACCTATTATACGTAGGCAAAGAGGTATGCCTACCTGATAAATAAAATTAAAGCGTTAACATAGAGTTCTTAATGAAAACATAATATCTGTCCCTTGGAATTCATTTGTTTCGACCATCTAATGTTATCTGTATTTTTATTTCTCTATTTCGAGTTGCCTGAAAGAGATCGCTTGGTGGCGACAAGGCCGCACAATGCACTCTATTCTGATACCATATAAGTCTTGTTTGTACTTTATGTAAAATGTATTGCGTGTACGTGTTTACATAAATAAAAGAAATATAATATGTACTTATAAGTATGTATTAAATTACGTACCTCTCGCACGTATAAAAAAGAAGACAGAACTAGCGTTAAAGCCTCCGATTCAAGGACAGAAAAACCACAGAACAGAAAACTTGTCACTATTACGAAACACTCGGGCACAAACTGGAAATTGCTTTACGAAGATATTAATTCACTTTGCTGTTGATTGGAAATTAGGAAAAATATTTGTGTATGAGTACGCAGTTTTCAAACAGGTTTATCGGTTTTGTATTTACACTAAACACACCTGTAACACATGAAAGATCTGCGGTAACTGAGCGTGTAGCAGTTGGTTAGCTCTCCTAGCGAAAAGCGCTTTACAAATAATATTCAGCGACCGTTTTGGGATCGGACATGCCTTAGTTTCGCGAGCTTTGCTTTTTCTTGTGTATCAATGTCGTTAATTTTAACGCAAACATACATTGCATATAATGTATAATACGTTATAATATAAATATAATATAAAAATACATATATTATAATAAAAGGTGACTAATAAATTTCCTTTTTCTTTGGCTGGTTTCATTGCAAAATAATAAATTCGAAAAAACAATCAAAAATCAAATAATTTCTACTCGCTTTGTTTACCACGGCGGCGGCTGCTACAAAGCATCCGATATATCGGGCCGCTGTTAAAATAATTTTCTAATAACTTTAACTAATATATACCTCGTTTTAAACCGTTATGTTGCCGCGTACTGTTTATTTAAATAAATTCACGCTTTCATTATTTTAGGTATCTCTGAAGCTCGTTATAAAGCCACATTCTAATTCTTCCTTATCTCTAGAAAATCAGTTTTTTTGGTATTGACCAGACTATAGAGAAAAACTTTGATCTTTGAGGAACAGTAACAAAAAAATGAATGGTGAAATTTTACTTTTTTTGTATTGATTGAATAATTAAAATAATTTAGTTACACCAAATTCGGTACAAAATATGGAGGCAAATTTAAAAATAAGCGCTACAAGCGCTGAGAGATACAATCTATACGAAAGAGATAGCGCTATAGAAAAGCATACAGATACCTGCGACGTGGGAGGAGGACAGACACCAAGCATCGAGAATGCACAGTGGGCTATTTTAATTACAAATAATGCTAGAGTCTAATATAGACAAGCAAATTATAACTTAGAAATCGTATTTTGCGAAATCTACAGTAATTTATTATAATATTAACTTCGTTGTTGCAATATTTTATTTAACACCTTTGTTATCATTTCGAGTAATGTAGAGACATTGATAGGTATGCTTATAATTATAGTATTATTATACTTATAAATACAATAGATTTTTCGTGTCATTATACTTTCATCTTAGAAGGTACAGTGGTGAAAATAGACTTAAGAACTTTTTAATTACTATTCGATTTAACTGTCGTATCAACTGTGGTGCGCGTGCGCCGTACCTCCTGTTACCTGGCACGGAGAGCGCCAACTGTCCCCTCCCCTCGCCCCTGCCGCGCATTTCGAGTTTCCAACTTTTCGAGATTTGACAAACGTGGTTAGATTACAAACACTGTCAATGTTGTTTGGCGGAATCTGTATTGTTAAAAACTTTCAGTTTCATAGTTTCAGTCGTCAGTTCATTTGTAATTTATTACAATTTGTTAATGTTTGTACAAATGAATAATCTGTATTAATATATGTATAAATCTGGAGAGTTTGTTTGTATGTTTGAACGCGCGAAAAACTCTTTTTGTTAATTAGATCATTTTTTGAGGAAGGCTCTAAAACATTGCGCTGTGACTAATAGCAGCGAAGAGACAGCAGTTATTAATTATCACTGTGACTTAATTTATTTTCCTATTTATTATCCTAACTACCTATTTTACTAATATAGCGGATGGTTCATGATTTGGGTTAAAATCTGTTTTGGTAGTAGTATGAAGTACGGTCCTGGCTTCAATCTCTAGCAATACAAAACATACTATTGAATTACCGTTTGCTATTCAGTAAAAGTTGTTTAAGGAAAAACCATAAGATACTGTGAATAAAAAAGAAGCTTGCGCCTGGTGGAAAGTAAACTAGAATGAAGCATGTTTTGGAGTCGATCGGTAGCTTCACGTAACATACTCTTTAGAAAAGGAATGGAGAATGACGCGAAATGGTTAGCAGTTTATGTAGACTGACAATAGAATGAAAAGAAGGACCAGTGGCATAGCATTCGTAGGGCCAGGACCTCATCTTTGATAAGATATAAGCGTAAAAGGATTCTTTGAACGTATTTAACGTAAACTGGCTCTATATATAATTTTTGAGGTTTCAATTAATTTAAGCTAGGCTGAAAGAGGGGATGAGGGCCCGATTCATTCTTAGGCCCTAGGATTAGGTATACCGGGACCCATGTCAACCTAGCTACGCGACTGAGAAGGTCTTTTGAGTGTAACATTCATAAATACTAAGAAATGATTTGTTTCGGCTTAAGTGTAGTATAACGGAATTTGGACTAAACGTAGGTACGAAAGATGTATTTTTAACTCGAGAAAAAAGTAATGACGTGGGCGCACGACGAACTATGTTATTCTCTATATAATTTAAAACTGTAGTGAATGTTCTATATTCAATTATCTTTGTTTCATTCGATAAAGGCCCGACGTTATTTACTACTAGGGTATGACACTGGCATTTAAATTATTCTATTGAAGTCAATTGTGAGGTGGGTGCTATAGTAATACGAGTCGACGACTAACAAATAGTTTATCAGTATTCAACGTAACGGAGTTGTTACGTGTAGTGAAAAGTGCACGTAATTCCAGCGTTTGGAGACAGTGAGTTTGAGAAATATATAAGGCAATTATATGTAGTAAATTGAGGCCGCTAGAGCCAGAGTGGCCTAACTGCAAACTACAAACAATAATATAAATTCATTTTTGCCCAAGTTAATTTCGCATTTTTGTTTTCCTCCTTATTGAAAATCACAGGGTTTTGTTATTAGGCCACTCTGGCTCTAGCAGCCTCAATCATACGTCACTCTGTGTTTTAAATATGTTACGAGGCATAAGTATGATAGTTATTAGTACGTGACGTAAGTACGACAAAAATCAAGGAAATTTATTTACGTTTTTTTAACGTGTCCGAGTATATTTTAAACCACATTCCCACACTTAATCACAATTTACAAGTGACGTTGTTCTAACGTAGTTCACGTTAGGTAGTTGTTGGTAAATGTAGAGACACTTAAATTGTAAAATATACATTGTTTGACATTAGTAGGTACCTAAGTAATTTAGTGAATACATTATTAGTACTAATACATAGTAGTATCTATTGGTTAGTTATTACCTAGTAGTATGTGTTAGTTTTTGAATGGCTACTTGTTTTAGCTGCGCGATTATTAAACTAGCTGTGCCGCGACTTCGTCTGTGTAGAATAGTGATTTTGGAAAGTTTGTTTTTGCAAACTTCCCACGACGTCGTCCGCGTTTTATCGTTCTTGCATGTTAAATTTAAAAGATACATTTATACTGTCGCAGACAATTTTAGATCATTTAAAGAAAAATCATTCTTTCATTCGTATTATTGGGTATCTTAAACCCAACGCAACGGAAACTTTTATAGATGAATATCTTTCCACGTTTCCTAGTGTTCCCATAAGTTCAGCACAAACATATTTTTTTAATTGGAACTTGTAGTTACTAAGCGCGTTTAAACAAACAAACTCTTCAGTTTTATAATAACACTATAGATTTTTAAACTAGGCTCTCCGAGTCGTTTAATTTCCTTGTTTAAAAGCGATGACTTTTTCAGTGAAAATGTTTTCTCGCCTTAGCGGTTGGTGGCGTCATTCTCTGAAAACTCGACCGGTGCTGACAAATACCATTGTGTACGCCAGTTTTTACACAGCAGCTGAACTGTCACAGCAGACTTTCAACAAGATTTACTCAGTAAGTTAGTAGGACTATTTACTATTAATTTTTAAAAGGCATTATCGTTGGTAGAGTTCACGTTGGTAGAGAACGATGCCAGTTCAAGACCGGTCCGTGTCGTAAATTTTCCAATTTATAATCGATATTTCATTTATATATATTAATAATAATAATCAAAAAGTTTAAATTAAAACACAATAATTACGTCTTTTTGAACTATTCGTTTTTTTTTCAGCACTTCTACAACTTTTCCGCGTGTAATTATGACTAACTTACTCTAATATTGCAACGAATGTACACCTAAGCTAGGCCCTTCCCTACTTTAGTTTTATGGTGCGTAAGAGTAATTCTGCATGTTTTTAACACGAAATGTTGTGTACGAATTAAATAGTGCATTGGTACGCTTATAATTTTTTGACGTTTGTTGTTCATATCATTTGGTAACTCTTAGCTATTATATTCTGTGGAACACCTTGAGACATTGCGACAATCTGACCTCGCTATATACAGTCATAGTCACTCTTGGACTTTAGCTAAATTATTATTTTTTTAACAACTATGTAATCAAAAGAGTATGTTTTATTTTAGCATTTAAAAGACTGCGTCTAATTTTATGAACGAGGTATTAAACGTTTTTAAACGATAATAAAAAATACGGAATTTAAAGTTAAAAATGTAACTACAAAATTTTATAACTCAAACGGTGTTGTGTTTGATATAAAAATAATTATTGTTCAAATAAATAAATGTTAAAAACGTAGTTTGCAGTTTTCACTTAATTTGTAGTTAGATTATATACTTTTAAATATTATATGTATATGTACCCAGACGGGAATACGGGAATATAAATGGGTTAGCTTGTCATAGGTAGCGTGGCCGAGCGGTCTAAGGCGCTGGTTTAAGGCACCAGTCTCTTCGGAGGCGTGGGTTCGAATCCCACCGCTGCCAATTCTTTTGAACACTTTTTTAAAAAGCGAAAACTCGAATATCACTTAGTTCGTGTTTGATATAATTTATCGGTTACAGAAACAAATCATCACAATTTTTATTTGTTTTTACAGCCTGAAAAACCTGAATTAGATTTTAAAAGCGCCGGCCGAATTGTAGTTGTAGGAAGCTGTGTGTATGCCCCAACACTGTACTATTGGTAAGTAGAAAGTTTAATTACGAAGTATAAATAATTCGTAACCGCGTTGATCTAGTGGTGTGAGCACCCGACTTACGCTAGCGACATCGGAGTTTGATTCTCGGTCGAAGACCAAAATATTTATCTTCGCCTTTAAAATAAGTGTTATCCGGGACAGTAACTATTCTGAATTCACATTCTAAGACATATTGTGTCATCTGCTAACTTGGATTTGGCCATCATAGGAAATTGTGGCCAATATATACTGTTGGGAGAAGAGAGCAGATAAAGATAATATTAATATGTCTATTAATATGACGTAAGAAAGTTATGTGAAAAACTTTTAAAAACGAGAAACATCTTTTAAATATAATTTAATCATGGCAATTCTGTAATAGTAAATGTAGTTGTTATTACATCTAATTCTAATGCAACTTTGTAAACCCAATAACACATGAAACGGTGAAATTTCCATTATGAAAGTAGGATAGGAAATCTAGTTCAAGTGTCGTAGTATGTATTTGTATATATTTGCATACATACAGTTCCGATTCATTGAATACGCCGACACAAGTCAGTTTTGAAACATTACCTCGTTTAAATAGACTTTAACCGTTTTAAACGCGATATATATTAGTTAAACTTATTTGAAAATTATTTTAACTATGGCCTGACTTATCGGATCCTTTGCAGTAGCCGTGGTCATGGCGAGACTAGAGATGGAGGGAGTCTCTTATATCAAAATAAAAAACTACCACGATAGCGCCGTCTGTTCCGTCGAAGTTGGTATTTGGCGAAACTGACCGTGTCCTTGCAGAGTTGACATTATCTTGTTTCCTAATAGCTTATTGTCTTACGTTTCACAGGTATAAATTCCTAGACAACAAATTTGCTGGAGCATCGGCAAAAGCTGTTTTGACAAAGGTAGCGTCTGATCAGTTTCTCATGACACCAGTACTTCTAGCTGCCTTCTATTCTTGTAAGTGTCTCAGAGATAATGTTTATAATTGCCCATTCACTTTATAATGTACTAGCTGTATCAGCGACTTCGTTCGCGTAAAGTAGTTTTTTGGTCATCAAAATTTATTTTTGCAATCCACTTCATCTTTATAAATTTAAGCACACGTGGGTAACACCCACGACGTCGGTCGCATCCCGTCATTCTTGCAAGTCATTCTTAAAAGATAGACATATACGGCCTTATTACAAAAAAATACTTAAACCAGAACTGTCGAGTCTTGGTTTAACTTGGTTAAACCATGGTCTAAATAAATCTAAGTTGGTACCATGGTTAGTCTAGTACAAATGTTAAACTTCGTTTTGTAATAAGGATTTCAAATAAACCAGGTTTGAGAGTTAGTCCTTGTTTTGTAATAAGAGTGTTAGTGTCGCGGACTTTTTTAGAGACATTTTAAAGAAGAATTATTCTTCGTACGTATTTTTTGGGTTTCCTGGCCTGTTTTCCCATATCGGCCCAAACAAACAAACTCCTCAGTTTAGTATATTATTATAGATTTTACGATTTCAGTGTTAGGAGCTCTGGAAGGCAAGGAGGACGTTTTAGAAGAACTGAAACAGAAGTACTGGAAGACGTTTGTAGCCAACCAGGCTTTTTGGATACCTGGACAAATTATTAACTTCGCATTGGTGCCACCTCATTTACGAGTGGTGTACGTAGCGTCTGCTTCGTTCCTCTGGATAAACATACTTTGTTTTATAAAGAGACAAAAAGTTGACAACGAAGAGAAAGTGTAGCAGATAGATTGTTACGAAATCAATGTTGGACGATTCTCAAAGAATTCTCATTAAAATCAGGGTTATGACTCATTGCAATAATATGCAGAGAAATATCGACATTGTATGTTATAAAATGATAATATCATTGGACCTTTGAATGCTCACACAATATTGAATAAAATCACGATTTCTACAATTTTTTATTTATTTATTAATATCCTGGACATTTTATTAGTATAGTTAAGTGTTAAGGTGCATTGTTTCATAATACCGGTAATTAGATCACGTTGTGGACTCAGAATTGATATGGTTTCTCTTAGGCGAGTTTATACTTTTTCTTTGCCTCACAGTTTGTATTGAAACGTCTTCAGATTGAGACAAAATGGAAACGAATAGTCTAGTCAATTTAGAAAAAGGATTATTGGAGTTTGCGGAGCCATTTTCTAGCGATCTGTTTGATAGAGTTGGGGATAAAATGACCCAGCTCTTACAGAGTGTAAGTTGTATGGTCGCAAGTATTACATCATTTGTACTCGGTTACGAGGTAAGTTTTTTTTAAACTTTATTATTTTTTACATGAAGGCACTGTATAATTTAAAAATCAAAAATAAATTTAAAAAAAATTTTCGACTCGGGCTTGAACCGGCATCGTCAGCGTTCCGTGCTGTTGCTCTACCAATTGAGCTACCGAGTACTACACCATGCGCGATAGGTGCATGTATCAATAAGTCGAAAAAATTCGACGATGAGGCGTAGGACTCGGTAGCTCAATTGGTAGAGCAACAGCACGGAACGCTGACGATGCCGGTTGAAGTCCTGCCCGTGTCGAAAATTTTTTTTCAATTTATTTTCGAGGTAAGTTTTGTCAAATAATGATTCTTGAATGGCAGTTTATAAATCAACTAGAATAACCTCTACAACATTTTTCTTTCAGTATGATAAAATATGGAAGAAAGTTAAAATAAAAATAGACGATAAAGATATATTAAGAGTTTTAGTATTGGCAGTCCTATTTATCCTTCTACCGGCCATATTAATATTTATCGCCATAAGTTATATGTATAAATATATTTGTTCCGCGCTAATAAAAATGGGGGACAACAATTTTGTGTGCTTCCTGGAAAGTTTCGACGTTTTCTGGAGTCTGGATGATGACGTCAATAAAAATATAATAGAAGTCTTAGGTTTCATAGAAGCAGAATCACCTGATAAGTTGGTTAATGACATAAGGCGTAGATTGGACAGCCTGGTTACAAATAAGACGGTTGAAAAGATATTTTACAGGAGACACGAACAATTCGGATTCTATTATTGGCATAAAAGTGACTACGTTGATGTTTGCGAGTACGTAAAAATATTAAAAGTATCGAATGCGCAGGGACTTAACAGAAATGACCTAGAGGTGATCATGACGGAATTATCACACGATTCGCTACCATGTAACGGTGAAGGTCTGTTCGAAATCTTAGTCACAGATATTCGAGTAACTGATACTGATTTCATTGACAACTATGCGATAATATTTAGAATACATCATGCAGTTGGCGATGGTATTGCACTAATAGAGTTTTTATGCAAAATATTAGCCGATGAAAGTAGCGATATTCAATTGTTTAAGCCACCAGAAGTATGCAACTTGATTGAAGAGAACGTCGCAAAGAACTTCACGGATTTGGTGAAGAAGATTAGTGAGATAATCCTTTGCGCAGTCGATGGCGTTATACGAAAGCCCGACCTCAATGCTCTACATGGTCCCATCCTAGAGGGCAAAAAGTATTTCAGGTGGATAGACACTAATAACAATATGCTGGAAATGATAAAAGAGATTAAAGAGAAACAACATGGTTTGAATTTTACGGACATTTTAGCTACTGCATTATCTTCGGGGTTACGAGACTATTTCTCAAAAGTAAGTTTTTATTTTATTATTGTGTTTTGATTTTCACAGTGCTCATTGTAAAGCTATTTTTTACGGTTTTCGAGCTTAGCTGTTGTGATTCAGAAATATTACTGCAAGTTGCTTTTCGTCAGCCAGACCGCTGGAGAGCCCAATATCACACTTTCAGTATAATGAATCATCATTCTTTCTCCTTGACAGAAAATGCTGTACATTCCAGACGACGTAGCAGTAATTATTCCCATAAGACTGAGCGAAAAGGAGCAATCCTTGATTCTTGAGAACAATTTCACTGTTAGCATTCTGCCTCTACCGTTGACAGCAAATTTAGACAGCATAAGTCAATGTTGTAAACAGTTACGTAAAAGTTTGGATCCTCTGGTAAATATTTGCTTAGGCGTAGGAAATATAAAAGGACATGAAGACTAGTAATAACTCTACAAGTATATATTCTGTAGTTTACGCCAGTACAAAAGTGTTGAAACCGTTATAAAAGTTTAAACGCAAAATATATTCTAATAGTTTTTTTAGATATTTGGAATTCTTTATAGCAGTCATTTCTCCCGTGATATTTTGTTTCTAAAACCGTTGAAAGAGTTTTATTTGTGATAACACTCTTTTATTTTTTTAAGACAAATCATTACCTTCTTAAACTGTGCAACGTGTTTCCTAAGTGTATCCTGGAGTCAGTATTTAACAGCAATCAAGCGACACTGGTCTTCAGCAACATACCAGGCCCAAAAAGTTTAAGCATTTGCGGTTGTCCAGTCCAGTCTCTGGTGTTTTTCGTGCCGAATAAGGGAACAACCGGTAACTATGATAGCTCAAAGTATTATGAACTTGTACGGTTTGTAATCTTGATAAAATATAATATGTTTAATGTAAACAATATTATTTATTGACAATTTAAGAAAATTGTTATGGAATGCATGCTGTTTGTTTTACATCAATTGGTAAGCAACGCGCTGGTTGATTTATTAAATTATTAAACTCGGGGAAATTTTATAAATTAAAGAGTATTTAGATTGACAAAAATTCCATGACTCTAATATACTTCAACCGGCGCCCACAGCGATCTGTGCTGTGTTGCTGCTCTCACTTTTTTTTTCGTCGCTCGCATTTCGTCATTTTTTTATGTAAATAGATGTTTAATTTATATGTATGTATAGTATTTACTGCATTCCAGTTCAGATACCTTTTTCATGTAAACACATGTAGATAGATGTACAGCAGCAAAATTTTATGTTTTAGGGGTGGGTGTAACAGTTCTTTGCTATGGAGGGGTGTTAAGATTCGCTATAATGGCGGATTCAGCTGTTTTGTCGAGTCCCGACGATCTATCCGTTATACTGAATGGAATGATTAAGGAGATCCAACAAATGCACAGAAAGTATGTAGCTTAAGACGTACAAGTTGGGGACTTGGAATTGCATTGACTTCTCAGTTAAAGGTTAGGATTACTTATTATTATAGATTTAAAGTCGGTAATATAATATTGCCTGTAGTTTACGCGAGAATACATAAATTTGTTGACTTATTTTTAATTTAATTTTCCTACGGCCCGACTTTGCAGCAACCGTGATTACATGCGTAGTAAAAGCGATTCATTTAAATTCATTATATTTACTTTCCATTACATTTTTTCTTGTATCTAACACCCTTAAATTGTTAAACCTGTTGCCTAGCTTTGGACTAAAGACGAGAGTTCCTGATTTCGAATCCCGGGGAAGCAATAGATTGTTTAGACGAGCAGGGGCATGTCATCAATGTTTTTTTTAATGGAGACGGAGGCATGGAAGGCATTTGTTTTACTAAAATATAATTTAGGTTAACTACAAATTTTAAAACAGATTTTTATAAATGTTTAATTTTCAGGTATGGAGTTAGTTACAAAATCAGCACTTTCAAGTCTCCCTTTGTAAGCGAACATAATTTAATATACCTATGTAATAAAATAATATCTTATGACTACATATATTTATTAATGTCACCTAACACATCCGCAAAAACTTAAATAGGTAACTCTGTATGTTTCATTTTTTAAAGTATCTTTTAAATATACTTGGTACTAGATTTTACGAGTTATAACGAGTGTTTTAATAATCCTCAAGTAGCGATTTCAACTGTATGTTCTCTAAAAATAAAAGATTGCATTTCTTCACCTGTAAAAAGCATTCATACATATTATTGCGATCTCATAATATAGCTCACTCAGGTGAGTATCAGTCCAGCTAATATTAATAATATTCCTTATATACCTATGTGTTTTAATAAGCTATGCCAGCGATGTCGTCCGCGTAGAATAATTATGTTGGGCTTCAAAATTTCTTTCTGCAACCCCCCTCATCTTTATAAGTAATAGCTATTACTCACTACGTCGTTTGAGTCTCGTCGTCCTTGCAAGTTAATCTTCGAAGATAGTCGTATTCTGTCTCTCTAACCAACACAAAAAGAAATTTTCAACTCGAACCAGGAGTTCTTGAGATTAGCGCGTTCAAACAAACAAACTTATCAGCTTTAACAATATTAGTATACGTGACACCTACTTCTTCTAGAAGCAACTTTAATGGCGCATCTTGATCTGCGGTAGCGAAAGATTGCAGCTGATCATCAAGTTCTAGACGAGCCCTTTCCGCTGTTCTCACAACATCCTCTATTCGTTGCTTTAATTGTTCTATGCGTTCTTCAAACCATTCTTTCTGATATAAAAAGAAACAGTCTCATAAAAATTAAACACTTTTGGTTTTCCCTGGAAATGTGGATATTAAATGGATAGTAGGAATACCGAAGCCTTGAAGCAGATGAACAGCAAGCTTATTCGCGTTTCGGTTTCAGTCTTTACATTTCCGAATACCAGTTGTAGGTGAGTATGATAAAGACTAATGCCGTAACGCGCAACCTAACTAGTGGTATACTCCTTTACACGGTTATCACAACATACATCTACGTACCTCTATGATCCTTTTCTCTCTCAGCTTCATGTACTTTTCTCCAACTGTCAGTAATGCTTTATTGGCTTCAACGAGACTCACATGATTCCTCCTCATTCGGTCCCGAAGGCGGGCAATGGTGTCTTTACGAGACTTAACCACCCTACATCGATCATCGTAGGCGCGTAATAAAGATTCGTAACGGGCTGAGAGTTCCTCATACCTTAAGTAAAGGTTAAAAATCAGCTTTGGTATTATCAGGTCGTAATCAGAAATAGGTTATTTTAATTGCATTTTAAACCGTTAGAAGTGTTTATTTAAAAGAACTTACTTATACGAACTTATAAGATCTTTATAGTAAAATCTAATTAAAATTTTGAATTCGAGAGTATACACCGCTTGTACATGACGCGTTACGGTGCCACTTTATCAAGCCATGATTTCTACCGACCATTTAGCTAATAGTAAGTGGTACTTAATATAAACAAGCATTTTTACATTATCTTGTATGTCAATGCATTTTATGAGTTATAATTTCATGTAAGTAGTGTGTCACAGAGGTTTAGAAGGAGCCAACAGAGATTATCCATAGCGATCTATATATTATAGAATGGTGGATAGATTGCTATTAACAATTTTTTTTACTTACTGATACTGAAGACATGCAATGCTCCTGGTAGACCAAGACTCTGCCAAATCAACGGGACCTCTAGGTGACTGACTTTTTTCTACAAAAACTTGTGAACGTAAGAATTTACAATCGCCATTTAGTGCATTAAAAATACTTTTTATAGGTAGTATCGGAGATTATGGTGATCTTATATAGACAGACAAAAAGCAGTTCTGTATTTTAATATTGCTATAAAACTAAGGATGGAAATACTTACATGATATATGTTCATAAAATTACGAATATGTAAGCAAGGGCATAACCCATATTTTTATATATTCAGAGATAAATAATATACCAGGTCTGTTTTATGTTGATGAAATTATTTATTTTTTCCAAAAAAATTACTCACCTGTTTCCTTATATTTACAGAATCTAACGTTTGAAATATCAGACTGGTTTTCCTTATTATGTGTATGTGAGTGCTTGGATTTACATTTCAATAGCTGATCTTCGTACGCACTGGTCTTTTGTAGACTCTTCTCTAAGCTGCATAAAATATTCTTCGCATTTAAAATGCCATTGTGAAAATTGCTGCATGTTACAGGAGTCTGTTGTTGAAAAGTTAATAAATAAATATGAGGCTGCTGGAGGCAGAGTGACCTAATAAGAAAAAACATGATTTTCAGAAGGTATCTCCTTACTGAAAATAAAAATGCGCAATAAACTTAGGCGAAAATGAATTGGTACTATTTGTGTAAAAATTATGTAAACAATCGGTTACTGTGCTATAAAAGTGATAAAAATATAAATAACTCAAGGCATAAAATTGCAGTTAGGCTACTCTGCCTCTAGCCGCCTCACATTTATTTTTGTAAGGCTTTTAAACGAAATTATTTTATTGACCCGACGTCGGTACGGACTTAAACTCAAAACTTCTCTAATCAGAATAATTCAATAAGTTGTGTACTTACCGAATTTTTATTTATTTCCAAAAATTTAAAGTTTTCCGGATCAAACAAATCACTGGTATAGAAATTGTTATACATTGCTTATTTTTTCCAATTCCTCAGTGATAAAAATATATCTTATATATTATTATTAATATGATAGCTTCGATAAAAGATCAGATGAAAACAATGACGTTTGGAACATCAGTTGTATTATAAACAGAACTCAATTGAGTCACATCTTCTATTTTTTTTAATTTGCCTATAAGTGACCGTGAAGTATGCGTAAATTTTTAGAACAAATTCACTTTAGGTCAGGCATACGAATGAAAACTTACCGCGAATATCGAAATACAAACAACAATAAATGTCCCATCTCCTATCTATTTGTATATACGTCGTCACTGTTTCAATTAAATAAAAGAGCACAAATATCTTTTTTAATAAATGTTTATTCATCTACAACAAAAGACGTAACGATTACAACTAAATCAGTCTAAAAATATTCTACATCTCACTACAACATTTCATATAAATCATCTAAAAGGTGCTTTTGCACAAATCATATTTTGGCGCCAAAAAGAGGAAACAGTGTAGCTTTACGATAATGAGAATTCGCGGCAAACACTGCTCTAAACAAATGTACATGTCTATGGTATTATGTAAAATAATTGAAATACAATAATTTGATGTTAAAAATAAAATAATACAATAAAACATTTCGTCAGCGAAAATTAAATTGTAAAAGACCTTCACGGCCATCTTCCACCATTTCATGTTTCTTCGGGATATTCAAGATGGCGTCGTTATATATCAACTGTACATCAATTGATCAAAGTGTTTGGTTCAGTCAATAAATGAAGACGCTCAAATAGCCCGAAAAACCACATGCGCAGATATTTGTAAAAGTCTACAACTACCAACCAAAATCTGACTACAGACCAATATTCCTAAGATTTGTAAAACCAATATATATGGAAGACATTGATCGCTTCAAGCACAGGCATTGTAAAATTGGTAATACTAATGCTGAGAACGTAGAATGGGGCTTTGTAATTACAAATATTATGTAACTATCCTTTGTAATAAACTTTTATGTTTGTCGTCATATTTGCTATTTCTATTTGCGTTCCACTATTTGCCATTTCAATTTCCAACCACTGGATTTTGGTGAGCGTCCCTATACTACCATCTCATTAGCATCAGTAAATATCTTGATTGTCAAATAATTAATTCTAGATAAACATTATTATCAAATACTTATGGAAATATTTGTATATAATTTACTGTTCCAACAAAACAGGTGTCAATCAAAATTGTGATGTAATTTATCATAATTGAACTAAAAAGATCCTGTGTCAAAACAAAAGATATTCTGGGTTATCAAAACAAGGTTTAGAGCCATGGATTGCATTACAAACTTAAAAAGGGGTATAGTTTTACTTAAATAATTTGTGTTATAATTCAAGTGGAATGCAGAATATCCTAGTTTATCGACAGGAAATGAATCCACTGAGCCAGCCAGTAACAAAGAATACAGTTCAATTTCATATTGCAACAGTAAAATTGTAAAAGATACATTTCAGAACAAAATATAGTAATGCACACATTGCAGATAAAACGCCTTGTAGAAAATCAAACTTAACAATTGTTTAAATACTATCAATCATTGTAACAAATTGCTTGCAAATAGTAACTATTGATATATTTATTGCACGGTTGCTTTAGCGAGGCACTTGTTTGTAAAGTATAAGTCTTTAGTACAAAACAGTACACAACAAATAAAACAATCTTAAAGAATATTGGTAAGAAACAAACTAATTGAGCTTTGGAATTTTTTGGCCTTAATATTACCTACTGAGATCCACAATCAACTGTAGATTACTAAATTTAAAATACATATCTGATAAAGTGCATTTGTTTAAAATATCTGCCAATTTACACACCCTGTATATCAATCTTATTTTAGACAGTTTGATGAATGATTTCTGATATAAAAATATTGGACATTACTTCGAGGTAATTCGACGATACCCATTACTTAAATACTGTGTTTTACCATTGCTAAAGCATACTAAGTTGATTTCCATAAAACAATTTCCACCTTAAAGATTCAGTGAACTACAACTGATTGTGTCTTGCGTTACTAATAATTTTCATGGTGGTGCATTCTTATCTCATAGAGAGTTAGTGATGTTTTGGAATAGTCTCTTACCCCACCAGGTTTCTAGATCAAAGGGCTTGAAGTCACGGAGAACAGGGCTTGGTTCATCATCATGATAATATAGGTTTGAGGGCGGTGCGGGTGATGAACTTCCTGAACCTAGAAATTATTGGAAGATACCATCAATATTTTAGCTTACACAAATCAGTTACTCAGACAGGACTTGAACCGGCATCCACACTTTTCATGCTGCTGCTCTAACAAATTTAATTAAAAAATAATTTCTTATTTATATATAGTGCCATTATCTGCAAAGTATTGTAAAATGCACAAGTGTTTTTTAAATTTACAAGATTTAGTTGATTAAGAGGGGTTACATTCTATTATTTGTAAACAACAAATGAAACTAAGGAAATACTTGAATTAATACAAATACTATACAATTTTCTACATAACATCAATTTGTATCTTTTACTACAGATAGTAAAATATTCCCTTTTTTTATAAATTTAAAGAGAAACAAAGAAATAATAAAAGTAACTCACCTATTGTGCTTGTGGGAGTGGAAGGTTCACTATCAGTATTAGCTGTTTGCGTCCAAGCTGTAAAGACAACAGAGAATAATTAAATTCATATTGAAACAATTATAACCAACTGAATTACAATGTATGGGAGAGACACAATTGTACAAGAGTGTGCAGTTATCGTAATCATGACCTTCAGGATCTTCTCAACTTACTTATATTTAAACTTTATTTGTATATCTTTATTTAATACATTCTATTACAATACTGGGTAAAGTATTTTATAACTATGACCCATAAACTCTAACTTGTGTCCAAATTTATACTCACTTTCACTAATGTATCTAATCATTTCTTCATGTTGTGGTGTTAATATACAATGTTGTATTCTCTGGTGAACCGTTTTCTTGCCATTACAATGGAAAATTGGTTTGGGCATACTGCAAACATCATAACAAAAAACTAAAAAAGTTGCGACTTTAAAGGACCCAAGTAGATTAAATACGTACATAAAACGAAATTTGTTGAATTAAATATGAATATAATTTATGCAATTAATTATTATAACTGGTCCATAGATATATCTTCAGCCATGTGTACATGTGAATATTTATAAATATACTCGGATTTATATTGTATTGTTTGAGAATAGAAGTTGCGAACGCATGAACTTATAAGTGGAGGTTATGTAAAGAGAGCTAAAAGTATTTAGGATCCCAATTGCATCATATTTAATTAGCTTTACTTGCCTAATGATTTCTCCATTGTCAGAGTCAGATGATTTCCTATTGTGATCCTTGCGGCTATCCAAACGTTCCAAATTTTGCGAGAGACCTAAAAATATTTAAAAAGTTTAACTCAAATACGATGCACCGATACTTGGTGCATTAAACTTAGTAAATGTTTATTTATCTCACCTCTTCTTGTCTTTGCTACTATCTTGCTAGGCCCCTTGGAAACCGTGTACATATTTTAAATTTACGGAAATTTTGTACGAAAATATTTGTGATAATATCACACAAAACTCGGACCAATTCGAAATGCCTAACACCGATTGTTGCCAGTATCATACTGTGTAAAGTCACCTGATTGTACAATAAATAAAATTTAAAGTTCAAAATTATTATTATCTTTGACATATATAATTATTAATTTACTTATAATAATTGTGGTATAAAAACTACACTGATCTATAACATAAATGGAATTGAATTGTTATTTATTAAATAATATCATCTCGTGGTCTCCTAATCTCGTAGTAAGTAGTTGTCAAGCAGTGGGCGATTATGAGATATAGTTCGATGATGAAAATGTCTCGAGATATCTCGAACGTTTAGTAGTTACAAATACTGCTAAGTTAGGACTAACTACTAGAGCCAAGGTACAACTGTCAAATTCACTATATACGATTAGTAGTACTAATTACTAACATCACTTCGATTATGAAAATTGAAAAGATATTAGTTACTAACTCTATAATCGATTACCATCATTATACAAAATAAATCGATTATGCCGATCTTTAATAATCGCCCACTTCTAAGCACATCTAGAATCTTAAATATTTATACACTGGTTTAATTTACAAGTAGGAGCATATATTAGAATAATATTATCTACTATAATCGATTATGCCTACAAACACCAAAAAATACTACAGTTATTGTATAATATTTATATCTGGCAAGTTTTTAACCACAGACTCTGTTTAATTAGTGTTTATATTGTAAAAAATACTTTTGTTGACAGATCATCATTACTTAATTATTAATGTTAGTTTTTTTTTAAATAACGTTGGAAAGATATATATTTTTTTAATAAATAACTCTCGAGGACTCAGTTCCAATGACACACTTCGTAATATATATATGATGTATAAAGTACCAAAAAATCTTAAGTATAATGTTACCTATCTTAAATAAAATTAAAAATAAAACAATATTAAGATGGATGAAGTTGTGAGACTACATTGGAGATATTTTTGACTTTCCTCTAGTAATGGTTTATTGTAAAACCTTTAAAATAACCCAGAGGGCGCTTATAATCATGAATTTGTGTATTTTGTATTATGTTTACAATTTAATATTAAAATAAATTTCTGGTGGCACATTTTATAACTTGAATATTAAAAGGGCCTATAGTTTACTTAATATTTTTAATTTGTTACATTGACACAAGAAATAGTTTGTTGCACAACAATGAAGAATAAAGATATATTCGATAATTATATTGTGTTTTTTTATTAGTAGGTACCGACTACCCACTTTTGTAATTATTAGGGGTTATCCGTGGAAAGTACTAGTGGTTCAAGAAAAAGACTTAGCTTATGTCGATATACAGAGAATAGATCCTTTCCGCCTTTTTAGTTGAATATTTAAAAGATTTTTTCGCCTAACAACTTCCGGTATCTGTAAACAAATCATGAAAAAGTGTGGTTCGTGTGGAACAGGAGGTAAAATTGCGTTACTTCCGTCAATTACTTGAAGCGACAACAAAACTGTCGTGACGTGAATTAATCAGACATGCAACGATCGTACAAAAAACAATCGTTTCCTGCGACGGAATTGCATAAGCCTAATTTCTTTTTGTGTTAATCGATCACTAGGTGGAAAATTCTGGGCCTTATATGACAACGTACCAACATATAGCATAGAATAAGGGCCCACACAAAGAATAACTGCCTTATATGTCTGGTGCAGAGGTCGCCAAGGGATGAAAATATGCATAAAAAAGCAAAGTTTGTTTGTTTAGTGACCTCTTACCTACAATAAGATGACTTCCCAGTTTTCTCTTCACAATGCTTATACTTTAAAAACTTCGTTTAGTTCGATCTTAAGTCTATTACTATCAAAATATCTACAAATGCAGAACAGACAAGGAGAAAGAACAATCACCTACTATAAAAAGTAGTCCGGAATGCAGAGGAGGACAAACAACCTCATCCTTGCTATTAAACGATGCTGCTCTTTCTGTAGAGGAAGGTTTCTTACCCAAACGGAGTTTCTATATTTCAGCACCCAAGAGTTTTCGCCTTCCGTGAATATTTGTGTACATATAATGTAAAAACTATTTTGTGTGACAGTTCGATTTTTTATTACCAGTGTATATCTGACTATCCGAATTTAGACTATCCAATCTAGAATTAGTTAACTGTTGTACTGTTGAGTCTGGCAGAATGTAAATAACTAGTTGACCTGGCAAATGTTGTTTTGCCATATGAAGTATTTCGACGAAATTAGATTACCTATTGTATACCGATTGTATACTAGCGGACATTTTTTTAGATTATTTAAAGAAGAATAATTCTTTCGTTTCGTTTCGCCTCTGTAGCCAAGTAGTTAAACGTATTGCCTTGCATTACGTTAAGCGCGAGAGGTCCCGGGTTCAAATCCCAACGAAACGAAACGGGAAACGAAAAATTGTTTCGGTCGGGCAAGGCACAGAAGTCTGATCAACTACTTGCCTGTTAATGAATGGATCCGTGAAACGGACACAAAAATGTGTTTGCCCTATGCCCCACGAGGGGGAAACGGGATTTAACTTATTAATTCTTTCGTACATATTTCTTGGGTTTCTTATACCGTCTTCGCATCTTATGCAATAAATATGAATAATTTTAGCCGTTTTTTTATATTTCCCTCAGTTTCTTGGCTTCTGTTGGTTCCAGCATAATGCGTGTAGCCTAAAACCTTCCTCGACGATGGCTCTAGCCAACGAAAACATAATTTTCAATTCAAACCAGTAGTACCTAAAGTAGCGCGTTCATACAAACAAATAAACTCTTCAGCTTTATAATATTAGCATAGATAACGATACATTCGCATTCTGCGAGCTTAAATGCGTGGGTATCTACTTAGTACTCAGGATGAGGTCATAACTTTCACTTAACGACCATTTGAATTTACAATTGCGGATGCATCGAATATTAACTCAAGTCGATTTGTTAAAATTCAATTAAGCGGCACTAATGCTTCCCATATACGTAACCAAGTTATCAAAAAGTGATTTCCCTAAAAATATAAATAAGTGTTTCATATAAAATTAATAAATTATAAAGCTCTAATTTTATAAAATACTTTTGCGATTATTTGTGCGTTAATTGCAAAGAAACAGTGGGAAATGTGGAAAAAACGGGGAAAATTATTCAGTTTTGAGGGTCTCCGCGAAAGCGGTTCAATAAACCCAAAAAAAAGCATGAAGGAATAATTGCTCTTCAAATAACCTAAAAAAATGTCCACGACAGTATATATGTTTATTACTATTCTGTGAGAACTGTTTTATAGCAATTAAATTAAATTTTGTAGAGCAACAGCACGGAAAGAAGACGATGCCGGTTCAAGTCCTGCCCGAGACGAAAATTTTTTGAATTTATTTTCGATTTTTAAATTAAATTTTGATCAAAATACTTCATTTAAATGGCAAAAAACAGCCAATTTGTTATAACCTACTTTGTATCGCGATAAGCAATGTAAAAGACGAGAAATGTGTTTGTCCCATGGCCCACATTGGGGAAACAGGATTTTCATGTTATTATGACTACAATAGCGGTACACGAGTTGACAATTGGTAGGTACTAGGCGCTAAATCGGCTTTCCACTGTGGAGTAACGGCGCATTGTCGGTCTACGGTTTTGTTTCGAAGTTTGTTTGCTGACAATTGTTAAGCTGGCTTTAGAAACAAATTATTATGTAGGTTGTATACTTCTTACAAAAGTATATTTATTTATTCAAAGGTATAGCAATAGATCAGAACATACGTCACTGATTAATATATGTTATTAGTACATGCTGTCTTATGTTTCACGTAAACAATCAAACAAAAGAAGTATGTATACAGCACTAGTTTATAAATATGAAGACCAACAATTAGGACTAGAAACAAGCTTAGTGTTTGAAGGTGAAATAATTACGATTTTTATTTTTAAATATCGTAATTATTTCAATCGGCAAAGATAACGATCTTATTTATCTCTTTTAAAACGGAATTATATTCGTTTAGAATGCGTATGTACAATAAAAATGAGTTGGTTTATTTTACAGTGCTGAAGGGTAAATAGTAAATATATAAAAAAAATAAGAGAGATAATAGGCATTCAAGCTTGTGCGGACCGATTTCGTATTATATTTTTGACAGATGAAATAATACTATCAGGGGCGTGGATAAAAGTAGCAAGGGCCGGTCTAAAATCAAACAAAAATTAACGGTGTTTTTTTTATAATAAAGGAAAGCGAAATAGCCCGCCGTACTACATCTCAATAATGTGCGATGTCGACCTATTTTGTCTTCGAATAATCCACAGACTGGACTGGAAACGAGAATTAACTTCGCAGTTATTAACCTATCGATGGTAGTTCGTGACATGGATATAGAACTTTCACTATTCCTACCTAAATACTGTCTATAGTTTACGCGAGTAGTACACATTTAAATAAAACACTTTAACGGTTTAAAACGCGATACATTAGTTAAACTTATTTGAAAATGATTTTAACTTCGGCCCGACGTTTCGGATGCTTTGCAGCAGCCGGCTGCTAGTTAAAATCATTTTGAAATAAGTTTAACTAATATATCACGTTTTAAACCGTTAAAGTGTTTTATTTAAATATTCCTACCTGTTTAATATCCAGAAGTCCAACATATTTCGGAAAAATATACATTAATGAGAATCACCCGGTGGGTGTCAAAACCACGAACCGATGATTAAAAGCCATGAATTGCTACCATTACACCAAGAAGTCAAACAAAAACAATCACTAACTAGGCGAATTTCCTAAAATGCAGAACATTGGTCTTTTCCCCAAATATTATGTACATACACCACCATATTTTTCTATTATTATAATTAATTAATGCAAGCAATAAGCATAAATCGTCTGTAGTAGTTAAAAAGTCTTAAATTTATTCGCCTCCGCTGTGTGATTGTTAAAATAAGGGCAATGGCTCTTAAGTGTGGGTGAGGACTGAACGATATAATCTGTGGATGGATTTTGGCGTCACCTACATTGACGTCATTTGAAGGGTTACCCGAGTTTGTCTAATAATACCGCTGAACTTTAATATTAACATAATTTTAACGCACCTTACACGAAGGTATTTCTTAAAAGTGTAAAATTTGTGCCTCCTATTTGGTACACACTTTTGTGTCTGTTTCACGAATGAACTTTTATCTACAGAGAGTTTTACAACTTACATTTCTGGGAGCACTTCTTTTTCTCTTAGATGTGTGAAATCAGATTAATGTATTTATGACACACTTCTGTGTCTATTCACGAATCAACTTTTATTTACGGACAAGCTTTCCACGAACGTTCCTAGGACCGCTCGTGCTTGACGTTTTTGGCAATGCATTTAACTATCTATATATATGTTAGATGTATGATGTAGAAGTAAATATAACGTAAGTTGAATTATAAATATAAGAAATGTATATGTATTTTCATTTTAATTAATGTTATACTTCTTCAAGATTTCTGGTACAGTCCATTTTGCTAAATGTTTAACGCCATATTATAATAGCTCCTAAAGTCGTTATATTAAGGGGCTTATTATATTACGTTCATACACTGGGAGATATAATTAGTTGACATTTAAAATCTTATAGCATATGCAACTAAAATGAATTCAGTATTCAGAAATGTACATATTATGTGAAATTTTCATAACTTTAATAAGCCTAAAGGTGGCGCCATCTAGTGGAATCATATCACCTTTTGTTTTGTGTTTACATATACCTACTTTGTAAAAGGATCGATCAGTAAGGGTAAAAGACAAAATTCGTATTAAAATTAATAAATGTTTATTTTATTTGATTTTCTTAGTTCTAGTGACTAACGCATACTAATATACCACTTACCCAACCAACACTTAGATACCTATTAGATTTAATAAATGGATCGAAAGTCTGACTAGTAAATTATTAATATAACAATTATTATATACATAGTTTTTTTAAGTAAGATTTACTTTAATACCAAATACCGGCTGATGTTCTTGGTGGAAACAATATTTGCCCCCCCTCTAGTAAAAAATTTTTACTCACGAAATGCGTACATCGCGCCAAAATGGTTATATTTTGTCCGTCACCATTCACCTCTTACAAATTCACAGACATCCAATCAGAGTTGTTCGCGCGCTTCGCTCGTGCGCGCGTTTAATAAAATCTTCGAAAGAATATTCCGAGTGTTGTTCAGAAAACAACAATAAAACTACATAAAACCATTATTGCATTTAACGGAGTCAGAATATACGTTAGCGCAGAGCGGAGAGCACATATTTCGTAAAAAATAAAAACACAAGACGATCCGTCCGGTTCCCTCGCTTTTGACAAAACGAAAAATAAACTTATCAAGATCTGAACTTTGTATTTAAACGAATGTAGTTTGCAAATATTGTCTGCTTTTAGAAGACAATATGCTTTTTTAAAGTGATAGTGTTGTCTGTGTTGTTGGAATCAATCTTTAGTGAACTCAAATCAGTAAGTATATCTAAGTGAAAGTAACAAACAATTCTTATTAGTGAATATATATTGCCCTCTACAAATAAACAATTTTAATCAATATGAACTCGTAATTGACCTTGTAAATTCTGTTATCATTTAAATAAATTAAAGTTAAACTTAGTGTGTTATATTCTGTGGTAATGATAGTGAAGATTATTAATTTCCTGTCTAATACAGTAAATATTTTGTCTAGTCTGCTGTTAAAACATTAGAAATACGATAGGTAAGTATACATATAGGAATTGCTGACAAGTCAGTTACGAGTACGTGTGGCGGCAAAATTATCTTAGGTCATTAAATACAGTAATTACCATGCTTTTTTCTTTTGTACAATTCTTAGAATGACTTAAAACAGTGTAGTATAATATGTTGGACGTGTGAATTAAATATTTTTAAGTAAATAAATTGTACTTACTCGTGAATATAAGGACTGCAAATATTATATTATATTGATAAGTTTACTACGTGTCTATAGTTTACGCGAGTAGTAACATTTAAATAAAACACTTTAACGGTTTAAAACGCGATATATTAGTTAAACTTATTTGAAAATGATTTTTAACTTCGGCCCGACGTTTTGGATGCTTTGCAGCAGTCTCCCCGTGACCAAGACTGCTGCAAAGGATTCAAATTTAAAAATCATTTTCAAATAAGTTTAACTAATATATCGCGTTTTAAACCGTTAAAGTGTTTTATTTAAAAGTTTACTACGTGGATACAATTTATTAATTATGTTGCTGTAATGCCTGTTATGTACTGTTTAAATTAAAAGCTTAATAATAAAATAATTATAGATTAAGGTAAAACAATTAATTAGTTTGCATTATCGTAATTGATAATTACCTTAATATTTCTGTGTTCCCAGTTTTGTTCTTGTACACGTAATGGTAAAGTTCAAGGTTTTTATACAACTTTCAGTGATGCAATAGGCGGCTACCTAAACGCTCAGATATTTTCGTAAAGTATAAAATCAAAAACATTAGAAGTAAATTAAATCACAGTAATTCTAAATAAACAATATAATAAGTTTCATGTAACGATTATTACATTCATATATTATATTCTGCTTAAAAAAATTATACGTTAGGTTTTTTTAATCTAACTCCTTACGCGTATTATTTGCATTTCTAGACTTCGTTAAATTGGATACAAGGTAATCGAGTTTGTAATTATTGCTGTCTGGATATTATCAAGAATAAGTTATATGATAAATAAATTAGATTTTGTCTGTGTATGTATTGATATGATGAATTTTACATACATATGGCTTACACATTTTTAGCATATTCAAAGATAATTTTTTAACTTCGCACCAAGTATATAAAAAACATATAAATAAATTAAGTTAATGTAGGAACATCGTCTTTTAATTATTCTTTATGTTTATAGTAAATGTTCTTTTTTCTTAATCGTCTGTCAAGTTTCTTTTTTAAATAAGGCCAGTTATAAAATTCTTTAAAAAAAGGCTTCATTGGAAAGGGCACTACTTTGGTTTCTTTAAGGGCGAGTAAGCCTTAGTCACAGTTAGTGACTTGACATAATACCTATATTATATGAAGAACTTCATTAAACAAATTAAAAAACTCCTACTTATTTTCATTAGTACAACATGGACGCTTGTTCTTTAGTAATTTTGAAATGCGGTTTAATATATAAAAATAAAAAGAGAATGAAGTTACGACGTCGTCTTTAGTTGTAGGTTTACTTTAAGTACGCCCAACCTAAAAACAAACACTTTTAAACGGTTGTAATTGCGAACGATATATATTGCTAATTCATTAAAACGTGTCGGGACGCTGTTAAAAATTATTTATTTGTGTTATTAGCGATTTTAACAAATACGAAGTATGTGGTTTATCTATCATCTATTATACTATAAAAGCCGTTACGTATATGAACATTATCCAAAAGTATGTTAGTTTGCATGCCTTTTATTTACGCCCTTCTTATGAAATCAATCTGCTTTAATTTGGCATACCGAAGGACGGAGAGTTTATGCTACTTTAAGATAAAACAAAGAACGACCAAAGGTATTGTCAAAAGACCAGAAAAAATACATCTTATGAAATAAATATTTTTTTAAAAATTTCTGGTCTTTTGACAATACCTTTGGTCTGTTTGTTACTTAAACAGTAATAGACATATAGTAGCAGCTTGTTCAACATAATATTTGTATATAAATGGATACATTTGTATTATAATGCTGGTTCTATTCGCAGAATAAAATGGTGAGACAGTGGATAGCGCTAGTGGTTTTTGTCCATTTAGCGAGTGGCAACAATGACATCTCTGTGAAGGATCTCACGCCGTCAGTCTACGAGTAAGTCTTCTATGAATACATTAACTCTAGTCAAACCTTTTGTGATATTTATTAGTTACGGGATTTATAAGAATATGCTGCGAAGCAGAAGTCGTTGCTTTTGCTCATTTTTTATTATTTATTTAACCTTTTCTGCTGTCACGCATTCCTCTTTTATTGCTGATTTTTTTTTGCCGCTGTTGCTTGGAAGAGATAGCTATCAAGTCGCTGTTTGTCCTTAATTCTTGTGTTTCTTATTTTTTGACAATAAAGAATATTTGTATTTGTAACATATTGACGTTTAAAATAATATACCTATTATCAATCAAAATCGGTCTAGCGTCTAGGTTTATGCATACCGTTTACAGTAGCTCAGCACTTTAGTGAAACTCTTTAAAAACAATAATGTAAACTACATTGCAACCAGTTCAGTGTATTACTTATGTATACGATCAAAAATATTATAAACCAAATGTAAATAAAGTTGCCCACTTTTGCATAGCGTAGTTTCATTATAATCTTTCTTAACTGCTTCAGTATTTTATTTTGCCATTGAATTAGGCGCGAGATCCTGAATTCAAATTTTGGGAAACTACAATAAAGAGACAGACTGGTCTAGTAAGTAGCTAGACTAGATACTTACAAATTAAATCTATCAATAAAGCAGACCCCGATATGAGGTGGTGGAAGGGAGAGCAGCCTAACTGCAATTTTAGCAGCCAGCTGCAGTCCAGTCCAGTCAGGACTATGATTTATATTTTCATAGTCTAAAAATGTTAATCTACAACACAGTAAACGAAAATTGTTGACATAATTTTTGCACAAATAGTACAAATTCATTTTCGCCTAAGGTAATTGCACATTTTTATTTTAATAATTTTCCGTCTTATTGAAAATCATGTTTTTAAATACTGTCTATAGTTTACGCGAGTAGTACACATTTAAATAAAACACTTTAACCTTCTCCCCGTGACCATGGCTGCTGCAAAGCATCCGAAACGTCGGGCCGAAGTTAAAATCATTTTCAAATAAGTTTAACTAATATATCGCGTTTTAAACCGTTAAAGTGTTTTATTTTAATCATGTTTTTGTTATTAAGACACTCTGCCTCTAGCAGCCTCATACGTGTACCCATGCTACATGGTAATTGGAATTAATATTTATAGATATTATGTTCTCTTCTCGTAATTATCTTTCAAACAAAGTACGCAATGGAATTTTACAGAGATAGATTGCTTTAAAGGTTTAAGGTTCAGGTCCGGTGTATTCATATTTGGATATTTCTAGACCCTCATGGACATACAAATGCGTCCCAGACGAGGGCTGTCAGCGGTCGCAGTCACCAGAACCAACAGCAAACTACACAGGCACGGTTTACGAGAGTCTAGATCTCTGTCGGACTGTGTGCGGGCGATTCGGAGGGATCTGGCCACGACCCGTCACTGCAGCTCTTAGTTCGCAGACTGTGAGGATCCATCCGAATTATTTAAGGTATGAATGAATATTGCCGTCGGTAGAAAATATTGAATTATTACCTATTGCTTGTACATCCACAGATAGGCATATAAAATAACGTAACGTAGATGTTCTTTTTTTAAATGTAGACGTTTTTTTTTTTAAATACAAATGATACAAGCGTCCATCATTGTGACGGACTGGTTGGTCTAATGTTATGTATGGCTTATAGGTATAATGGGTATGGATATTAAATGGTCCAACGTTAATAAATTTCGAATTTTTGCTGAAACACGTTGGAGATTCGTTTGAAACTACTGGATATTAATGGATGGAATAATATAGTTCGATTTTATTGACACTTAGGACCTATTTGATTTCGTTCAAACATGAAAAATTGGTGATATATCGATAGATTTCATGGAACAATTTTTTTATAACAGTATTATGACAAATAAATAAGCGAATAAATAAATAAGGGGTATGTTTTTTGTAGACATGAAAGGGATTGTTTTTTTCCATCGTTGTAAATAATCATTTTACAAAAATGTGTAAATAGCCTAAAGTGCATTGACCTCTTTAGATAAAGGTGCGTTCACTTTTATCCACGTGTGTTCTACAATTTCGTAATCAAAGCACCTGATAACTCCTGCGCCGTATTTTTAGCACAGTTCCCTTAACCCAGTTTACAAATAGAAAGTACCGTATACTCGGAAAACAATATCACAAATAGTAATAGCTGGGTATAAAACTGCAAATATTAAACGTCAATCCTAGGTTTGAATCTCGGGCAGATATAAATTTCACTGTTAATCGGCGTTGCTATTACTTTTAGGTGTACATCAAATAAAACCTAATATAAATAAAATAATTATTATTGTTCTTTTGTGTGTTTTATATTACTTTCCTTATGTATGACGATAAATGTTGATTTGAAATAGAATCCATATAAAAAATACAAATCACGCTTATCGTACGAAGAACGAACATCGCATGTTTAAAACGACCATATTATGACAAAGATGCTATCTATCATTAATTATTTCCATAATTACATTTGCCAGTATCTACATCCGCTGTATTTGTTTGCAACAGTTAATATCGTGGAAGATAATATTGCCAACAAACAAACTATAGACAGCCTACGAAATGAAGAGATCGGTCAAGACAGGTTTAAGAAACAAATGACGATGCTGTGCTTGGGACTTATGTCCAGCTCTGGACACTGCACAAAAACTTTATCATCATCATGAGCTATTTAACAGTGGCTGGAATTAGATGCCTTCCAAGAGGGAATATAACACTTAAGACACTACGCTATCATTCAATTCAATACTAATTTTTATTTGTTAGAGAATTTCGTTTCATACTAGAACAAAAATATTAGTTATCAACCAAAAATATATTAATACTGTAAAATATGTTCCAAATACTACGAAAATATTAGTTGTCAACCAAAAATATATTGATATTGTAAAATATGTTCCAAATAATACGAAAATATTAGTTAACAACCAAAAATATATTGATATTGTAAAATATGTTCCAAATACTACGAAAATATTAGTTATCAACTAAAAATATATTGGTATTGTAAAATATGTTCCAAATACTACGAAAATATTAGTTAACAACCAAAAATATATTGATATTGTAAAATATGTTCCAAATACTACGAAAATATTAGTTATCAACTAAAAATATATTGATATTGTAAAATATGTTCCAAATACTACGAAAATATTAGTTATCAACTAAAAATATAATAAACATTACCAATATATTCCATAAGATTCGGATACTTTAGTACAGTCGTTTTAAATATTTACGTCCGTTTGCTGACAGTACGTGATATGGACACAAAAATATGTCCGCCCTATGCTTTAACTATTTAAAGATCTTCATGAATGAATATGAAACATTGTGCAGTCTTGATTCTACTACATACTACAAAGTGCGTAAGTGGATAAATTATGTAACAGGTGTCTCTCGTCCGTCTGTCTATTAATATCGGCACAACGGCACTAACGCTGAACATCGATACGACGTGGATTGCTTGAGACATTTATTTATAGCCCAGAGCTGCTAAATAATTTATGGACCTGCTATTTCCTTTTAACTGCCACCGTTAATAGTTAAACGTGTAATCTAACGTTTAAATTGTTTTAATTATATGTAAGCGAAAATAAGACGACACTTTCACCTTCCTCAATTGAACCCTTGTCTGTCTTTGTACATCCAGCTTTATCACCGAAAAACTTCAGTTTTTCGGTATAAACTGGTGAACAGTCAAATAACAGATGAGTTAAATAACTATATTCATCCGGGTCTTTGCAATTCGTATTATTTCGGTCATTGAACGATACTTGATCCGGACCCTTCGACTATTGTTGAAAGGGCTGTCGTTTTATTTTTTGGTCGCCGTCCAACGGCTGAGACAAAATTAGCTATCGTCCAATAGTCTAGTGGCCATTGTTATTTGTTTACGATTTATATGAGATCTTAAGGATTAGGATATTTATGAGTAGAAAGACTGCGTCTGCATTGCCTAAAGTGTTGCCTAGTATTGCGTTAAGCGCGGGAGGCTAGGCTTAATCCCGGAGAACGATTGATCGTTTTGGTCGGGCGGGGCACAAAAGTCTGATCCACTACTCGTTCGTAAGGTAAAACCGATGAGTGAAATGGACTAGAAAATATGTTCGCCCCAAGTGCGTAGCGGGATTTTACTTTATTTTTATTATTTACATTTAAGTTAACTTATTCTTGTTTTAATTTTTTGACTTAAAAATAAGATAACTATTTATTTTTTAATTAAATAACTATTAAGCTATCGCTAGCTTTCGCATGCATAGAAAAGCGTGACTTTCGAAAAAAAAAAATTTTTTAGTGAATATTTACTTATGTAAAATAAACAAAATAGCTATCAAACATAGTTCAAAATTGCATTTATATCCAAAAGATAAAAAAAATCTGTATTTAGTTAGACTTTTTATATCGCTACCCCTTTTTTTAAATTTACCTATAAGTATAGATACATGATTTATTTAGCTATAATATTAATAGCTATTTATACTCAAACCAACAATTCCCAAACTGTTATATATATACATAGTAGTACGCACCAATATTGCGCTAGTTGACTCGCATTGTAGGCGTAAGGTCAACGACCGATCTAGTCATCTGCCATAATCATTTCCACTTCAACTTAACCTTTAAAGTTTATTTAGAAAATATTTTTAAAACCAAGTCAATGTCCTAATATAATATACCTAGCGGTTTTATGATTTAACGGTTTGTTGTTTAGTTAGCCTTTTGCGAAAACCAATAATATTTTTTATTTGACAGTACTGTCTATAGTTTACGCGATATAAATTTAAATAAAATATTTTAAGTTGCTTTGCAGCAGCCGTGACCACGTGACCACGACTGCTGCAAAGCATCCGAAACGTCGCCCGAATTAAAAACAAGCAAGTTTAACTAATATATCACGTTTTAAACCGTTAAAGTGTTTTATTTAAATAGTGCCTGTAAGTCTTTTACTGTTCAACGGCTTGACCGATCTTGATACATTTTGGTGTCAATAGAACATAGGTTTTAAAAAATATAAACTTTACGACGACGAGACGAGATAAGAGAAGTTCTAATAAAAAGTTTGTTCGTTGCCATTTAACTTTTTTTTACTAAATGCTAGGGCAAAAGATATTCTATTTAAAATTCTTATATAATTATTTTTTTATAAAGGATTTCAAATATATTTCAGTTGATAACAATAGCTTTCTTGTGAAAAGTACACCCAGCCATATAAATTGTAAACAAGATGCGTTGTCGGCCTATTTTGAAATCCACAGACTAAAACGCAAATAAAATTCAGCTCCGGTGGTTCGAACCTAGGACCCGTTGATAATTATTAGTCGTTGCTACCATTACACCAACGAGCTCATCAAAACGCTACGCATTGGACTTTATAATTGCTCTAAATACTATAGGTTGAGTTATTTTTGAAAAAGGTTTGTTTGTTGCTAATGTTACTGCCTTTTATTTATTTTAAGAAAGAAACACGAACCAGTCGACTACAATTTTAAAGTAAGAGTAAAGTATATAACATAACGGTGCATTCTAAAAAACGTTTCACAGATAAATAATGTAAAAAGTAAGTTGCAAGCAAATATCTTTAAAGGATTAACAATGAAATACAAAAACAATCCAAAAATAGTTAGTCCTTAGTTATAAATGCTACCTACTGGTAATTGCGTCAGAGTTACATTAAAAACCTACCTTGAAATCAATTACTACACAGTCTAAGCATATTATAAAAAAAATTAAAAGAGTGAATCTTTTATTTGTCGACGCGGAGTTCCGTTGGCTAGGTAAACAATGGGTTTAAATAAAACACTAACGGTTGAAAACGCGATATATATTGTGTGTAAAATCCCGTTTCCCCCTCGTGGGGCATGGGGCGAACACATTTCTGTGCCCGTTTCACTGAACCGTTTTTTTTTAATGGGCAAGTAGTTGAACAGACTCTGTGCTCTGCTCGACCGAAACAATTTCCCTGGGATTCGAACCCAGGACGTCTCGCGCTTAACGCAATATCAGGCAATACGTTTAACCAATTAGCTACAGAGGCGGTCCGATATATATTAGTAAAACTTATTTGAAAACATCGATCATTACTAAGTGAACGATGTTTGCAAATAAGTTATTATTATCATTTTGTTTTCAATATCTTGTTCTTGAGACAAAGCCTTACTTTTATTACGGGACCCTAAAAAAGCAATTGAAATAGAAACAATAAAACGTTACGCGAGATTATGTGTATTGTGCGCGGATTATCGTAAAGCAATTAACAATAATTATTTAAAGTCCATGAACAGAATTAATGAACAGCTGTTTTATGTAGATATAATATTATACGTACTATTTAAACAAAAAAAAATTGTGACCCGCAAAACATTAAAGTGTAAAGACGCAATTTCACCTATCCGGCAGACACACTTATGTGACTGCCCTGCGCCCCACTCTCTTTAAACATGTTAAAATGCAAACTTATTTTTTTTAAGCCTAGTACTGGTGGTTATTAACTAAATAAACTTAGCATTTAGAATTAAATAGTTAAATGTAAATACTGTCTATAGTCTACGCGAGTAGTACACATTTAAATAAGCACTTTAACCGTTTAAAACGCGATATATTAGTTAAACTTATTTGAATATGATTTTTAACTTCGGCCCGACGTCACGAGTCTTCCCGTGACCACGGCTGCTGCAAAGCATCCGAAACGTCGGGCCGAAGTTAAAAATCATATTCAAATAAGTTTAACTAATATATCGCGTTTTAAACCATTAAAGTGGTTTATTTAAACAGTTAAATGTATTTTTTAATGTGGATTACACAACATAGGTAGGTATATCAAAAATTCCGTGCTCTGCTTGACGAAGTCAAAACTAGAACAATGAATAAAGGCTCCCTAAACTACGTAGGAGGTCAAAAGTTGTTTGTTAATGAAAAATAAAATAAAATAAGAGACACTACATAATATTTGTTATTTTCCCAGGTTCGATCTCATAGACGCTCCGGTTGAAACTCGTGAAATCCTGGCTAAGATGACCCAAGTGGCAACTTCTAACTTGATGGATGAGTGCAACGGAAACGTCACTGATATAGTGGAAACGCCAGTGATCGTCTTCATCACCATCAAGACACCAAACCTCGAACAGACATGGAGTACAGACGAATCGTACATGTTGGACGTTCAAAACAAAGGTAATTTTACAAATAATAAAGTTGTAAGTGAGCTATCCGTTACACTGGATGAAAAAAAATGAGGCTGTTATACATTATAGCTTATTGATGCTGTTTTTAGTAGGTTATTATAAGCAAACACGACTAGTTGTGCCAAAAAAAATTATTAAAAAAAAATGTAATGTAAGGTTGTGCACGTAGATTACCTAAAAATCACTATGCTATGGGAAACCTCTTAGCATATTAAACTAACGAATGAGTCTTACCAACTCCCTTTATCAATGCCACGATTACTTTGACAAATTGGGTTATAACTTTTTGAAGGCAGTCAGTAGGTTGACGATTTTCAAAACCTACACTACTCCTATTGTCTATTTTAAGTGCCGAGTAAAAAGTACGGCACGATCCATTAACACCAACCAAACATGAAAGACATTTACACATATGAAACATTAATTAGCTTTTAATCTATGTATTATGCATTCCAGAAGTGAACGTAGCGGTTCATATAGTTGCTGAAACAGTCTATGGTGCAAGACACGCTCTCGAAACATTCACACAACTGGTGACAGCTGATAAACCTGACTACACAGACCAATATAGATGCGGTCTAAGATTGATCTCAGGAGCTAAGATAAGGGACAAACCTGTTTATCCTCACAGAGGGTTCCTTTTGGATACTTCAAGGAACTTTATACCGCTTGAGGATATAAAGCGAATGCTGGATGGAATGGCTGCGACGAAGATGAACGTGTTTCACTGGCACGTTACTGATACTCACAGCTTTCCGTTGGAGTCTGTAAGGGTGCCGCAATTTACCAGGTTCGTTAAAACTAAATAAAACCCTATTGGCTTATAATAAGCCAAAAACATCAAAATTACATCTTGAATCTAAATTAAATTTAAACCTCAACAGTGATACTGTAGCTCATTTAGAACATATTTGACATAACTTAATTAAGGCTCTGTATTCATTAATATGTAATGCTTGATTAAATATTCACATTAAATTGTTCTTTGTATCGTATTTTAATATTGCATATCATTGTTTTAATATTATAAAATTGTTTTTTCATCCAAAAAATATTGTTTTCAGATACGGCGCCTACTCCGCTTACGAAATATATACGACGGAAGAAGTCCGCGAGCTGATCAACTACGCCCGTGTTCGTGGAATTAGAGTTGTGATCGAAATTGATTCGCCGGCGCACGCTGGGAACGGCTGGCAATGGGGGAAGGTAAATATAAGCATATGGCAATTTTAAGTTACTAACCGTTGACTCGGCGACCAGTGGTCTTAGCCTCCAAAACAAAAGTACGCCCTCTATTATTTTACTTTGTAATTATAAATTGTATATAAGGCTTTCGCTGCTATTTTGCAAATTCACTTGGGGTTTTGTTCGGCCTTCGTAATTGAGAAATGGTTCAAATTAAAATTTCAATTTCAACCTTCATGAGGAGATGATATCATATGGTGCTTTTCTTAACCATTCTACTATTAGTTAACCAACGCATCTATTGCTAAAAAATAGCTTCAAACTTAATACTGTGCTGATATAAGTGAAGTTGTTATTAATGTATAGGCTTAGCGAAAGTTTTTGTCTTAAACCTTGTGTAGCGAACCTCTTCCGTTTCTCATACAAATATAAACATTTGCGTTGTCAATCCAGGAGTATGGCTTTGGAGATCTAGCAGTTTGCACGAATGAAAAGCAGTGGCGATCGTTCTGCATTCAGCCACCGTGTGGTCAACTGAATCCTGCGAACCCGAATATGTACAAAGTTCTGCGAGATCTATACAAGGATATCGCTGAAATGCTGAGTCAGCCAGCTCTCTTCCATATGGGAGGGGACGAGGTAAGCTAGTGTACATATATCTTTAACTGATTTGCATAATGAAAACGAGACACAAAAATGCAAATATTAGAATGAAATCTTGATTACAATTTGCTTTCAAGAATTTTTTAAAATTTCAATCACGACCTCAAGATATTAAATACTTAGGATCCCATAATAACCTATATTCCAATAAACATGGCCTAACAGGCAATTATCTACTAACTCTTAAAAATCTTTTGTTCTAATGTGTAGGTACTACTCGCGTAAACTACAGACAATACTTTATAAAAAAATATTAATTACAAAAGTATTGGTCTCCAGCTTGAAAGTTTCTGTATAATGTGTTTAATATAAATAAAAGCGAACAAAATACCATATCGCGACGTCATATTAAACAGTTACAGGAATTGTTTTTGTCTAGTCTATTGTTATCTTAGGAAGTTTTTAATAATTACAGGTCTTCGTCGAATGTTGGAACTCGACGCAAGACATAACAACCTACATGGAAAGCAAGGGTTACGAGAGGAACACAGAGGGTTTCATAAAGCTGTGGGCTGAATTCCATTCAACAGCATTACAAATTTGGGACGAGGAACTGACAGCGATGGGTCAGTCAGAGCAGCCGGTGATGCTGTGGTCATCTGAATTGACACAAGCGCATCGGATATCGAAGTACTTGAATAAGGACAGGTAGCTAAATTAAAATTTGATTATAACATTTTAAAACGAGGTTCTTCTGAATCATTAACAACCAATTTTTATAAACATGTAACAACGATACACCAAAACAGCTATATTTTTAGAAATTGTCAATACTGTAAGTTGTTTGTAAGTTTCTTGTTTCTATCAGGACAGCTTGGTTTTAATTCTCTGGAAAATCGCAGATCTCATGGGATCAGTTGTTTCGAAACCAAATCGATGATCCTTATTTGAAGGTAGCTTTCTGTCGGTTGTTTGTCCCGAACAACTATGGCCGCGCTAGAAGACACGATCTCTTTGACGTCCCGTACCTTTGCCCGGGCGTTTACGCCGACACCGCGAATTTTAACCTCACTCAATGCTCTGCTCAAGTTAAGACCCAAATGTGACCTTTTCGCAAATGAGTCATCATTACTAAATGAATTGTCTGCCTTTGAAATTTTGTAGTTTGACATGTTTTTTGAAATTATGTAATGTAATTTGTATATAACCTATTTTTGACTGTAATTCTTTAACTATGTGTAATACAATCCAATTAACGAACTGGCTATTGCCGTTTTAATTGTTCATAATAAATAAATAAGACGTCCGCTTTAAATAGTTGATATATTCTTTAAAGCAACCACAAAAATTGTTTTACCTCCTAATAAGCCAACGCCTGTAATATTTTTTTTAGATACGTAATAGAAGTATGGGAACCTGTATCCAGTCCCTTGCTATCACAACTCCTGCGCCTCGGATTCAGAACGGTATCAGTGCCTAAGGACATTTGGTACTTAGACCACGGTTTCTGGGGCATAACTAAATACTCCAATTGGAGGCGAATGTACTCTCATGTGTTGCCAGTTGAGGCCAATATGCTGGGAGGGGAGGTTGCGATGTGGAGTGAATACGTTGACTCTCAGGCTTTGGGTAAGTCGAGATTGAGAGATCGAGGTTTTCTTTTATTATAAAGTAAGAAAAACACGATGGAGTTTACTTGATGGTAAGTTAAAAACCCAGACCCAGATCCTATGGGAATTTCAACTTCAAATGAATCTTGTGTGTTCTGTTTTATATTTCTATCCTAACCATTTTCTTAAGACTAAAATGAATGCCATATGTTTTAGAGCTCTTAAACAAAATATCTAATCCTTTATTATAGTAAAGGTCTAATGTGAACAAAACCGACCTACACTAAAGAAACACGTTTACAATGACTGATATTGTGTATTAAAATCCTGAATCCTGTTATCAAAAACTCATACTCTTATAGATACACGAGTCTGGCCACGCGCAGCCGCTGTAGCTGAGAGGCTCTGGTCCAATCCTAGCTCCAGCGCCAACATTGCGGAGCCAAGGCTTCAAAGGTTAAGATCCAGGTTGGCCGCAAGAGGAATACCTTCGGATGTTCTCTCACCAGGCTGGTGTGCGCAGCATGATTCTCGGTGTTTATAGTATTTGACGTGATTACCTTTGAAAATTAGAGCTAAGCCTCAAGACTCTAAATTTACTATGACTACCAGTTCTCAAATCTCTCCTCTTCTCGCCATGTTTCATTTTGCAGTCTTCACGTACTTCAAGTGATTTTTTTTCATGTTAGAGCGGGATTCTCTAAAAAACAGTAAAATAGAAATGCAATTACCAATTACTAAAACTATCTGACTTTCACTAGGAGCTCAAGAACTGCGATTTTGAAGGAATTGATATTTTGCACGAATTGTGTATTTCTGTTGACATGTAACAACAAATACTAAAAACCAAAAATGAGTATTTAAGCTCCACTTTGATTTAAAAATCAATTTTCGATTAAATAAATTGTTTAACATGGGCGAGACTTGAACCGGAATTCACAGGACGCCGTTTAAATGAACTACCGTATAATAATAATAAAGACTATTCGTAATTTATGTCAATTGGTTGGAGCAACAGCACGGAATCCTGAGGATGCCAGTTTCGCGTCTGTTTCGTTAATTTTTTTCCATCGATTTTTAGTTTATATATTGCACATGATGGCATTATATAATAAATATTAAATTTTCAAAGACTCGAATATTAAAAAAACGTTTTTTAGAATTCTTGATATGGTAAGATTCGAAAGATGTTCTTTTAGTTTAACGTTAAAAAGATACCTACGGTAGAAAATGGTTTTGTTTAGTCATTAGTACGGATAACGTGTGTTAGTCTATCTGGCACTTGGTCTCTTATATAACGAATATACATTGTACATAATGCGTAAGAGTATTTTCTATTTTGTATATATAAACCATTTCCAAAACATGTAAATAGATTTAGTACTTACTTTAGGATTATCTAGGAAATGACTTAATAAAAATAATAATTTTATAATATTAGTGATATTGTTTGTAGTAAGATTTTATTTTTAAACACATGTTTGCCTAAATTCGGGACCAATATTAATATTTCAGTTTTATGTATGTACCGTAATGTCTAGTTGTAACTTGTAGACCATTAATGTTGTAATAAGTTAAGTGTTTTGTATATAAAAATGATTTGCTGCATTTCCAGTCGATATAATAAATATTAAGACGTCGTAAGACTGATACAATAAAAACTTATCATATTTTATTTAAATGTGTACTACTCGCGTAAACTATAGACAGTATATTTTATTAAATTTTATAACTCTTTATGGTTTTTTTTTTAATCCTATTATAAAAATTAAAATGTCTCCGTGGCTTGTGATTACAGAAATACGGACATTAAAATTTACCAATATTTACTTTAAGAAGTGGGAATTAACTTAAAAAAAAATACAGCTACTACTATACTTAAATAAAACGCTTTAACGGTTTAAAACGCGATATATATTAAACTTGTATGAACATTATTTTAACTAGGGCCCGACGTTTCGGATGCTTTGCAGCAGCCGTGGTGTCTGCCCGTGGCCACGTTTTCAACCATGTTTAACTAATATATAACACGTTTTAAACCGTTAAAATTATTTGAATGTGTACTAGTCGCGTAAACTACAGACAGTATTTAACAACAACTATAATTCTTCATTAGTTGGATATTTATGATTACTGATATTGACTTTAATATTGAGTAGTATTGAATAACTTATAGTTCGAGGCTAATTTTAAATGAAGTACATAAACAGTATACGCAATTCCTCGGTTTTTGAATAATTACGTATATAAAAATAACATCAGTGTATTTTACTTATAGTTTATTTCTTCTACACAAAAATAACATGGAGCTAAGCACTTATTTCCTTATTTTTACATTAAAGCACACTACACTATCTACAACGGCTCACTTTATAGGTGTAAAAATAAATATATCTACAATACAAAATAGACAGAGTATGACTAGGAGTTACATTTACACTGAAAACTAATGAATACAGGTTGTTCTAAAAAATTACACTCTTGAAACCACTGCCAATTGGTATATAAAGGTTTTCCTAATTGTTGTTTTAAATTTTTGAAGCTACTGTTTTTTTGTTTGACTGTGGCTACTTAAAAGTTGAACTGTTGGTTTTTTTTTAATTTGCATTGTCTTCAAAACTTTTTGGATTATCTTCTACGTATGTCATGACTGCCTCGAATGGCGGCAGATCACGAGGCTCCGGGCACGAATTTCGGGTCAGGCGAATTGTTTTAATTTTGAAATTTCTAGTACCAGATAGGTGTTTGAAAGTAGAAGAAAAATACTTCAAAAAGCGTTATTAGTCGTCGATTATCGTTTTTATCACTTTAGTGGCGGTGGTTATTAAATCACGTCAAAAGCGGCTGTAGAGAATTGGTTCTAAGCTCTTGCAGATTTTCTTTTTTCTATAGGAAGCCGTGCCCAGTTGTAGGAATTAATAGGTTGACCGACGTATGTAATGCCTATTATTATAATAGTTGTAACAGTTTTATTGTAGCTTTTAGAACATTCAGGCGGACGCATATGATCAACAAGTCTCACCTAATTCAATCTAAGCCTACATCAAATTATTCCTCATACTGCGATCGCTGGGAATGTTCTTCGCAGTTCCCATACTGAGATCGTTCGGTACTAAATCGTGTAGAATAGTGTCGCTTCTAAAAATGCTAGTGGCTATTCGATTTGCTAATCGTTCGGACTCCCTCAGATCGTCGTCTTTAGAGTGGGACGTAAGATCAATTTCTGAGTCACTGTCACTGTCGCTAGCTTCTTTATCTCTTCTCGGGCGGTAGGCTAGATTCTGCGGTTCTTCTGGCACAATGCAATGGCAGTTTGAATTTTTGGTAGGGACACGTAAATCTGTCGGGACCACGTCATTCTCCATCGGAGGCATCATGAGTGGAGAGAAGTATGGTTGTTGCATCATCCTCCCATCTTCATTTGGGTACGGCATGGGGGGAATTTCATGTGGAGGTATTTGTGGTGGGTGTTCTGGTATTCCGTTGTATTCTGGGCGGGGGGATTTGATTTCCCCGTTGCTTTCTAGGGGTGGTTCGGGTGATTTGTTTGATGGAGAATCTGTTCGTTCCGGAGAAGAGTCCGGGGGCTTGCCGTGACCTGGGAAAAAGAATAGAAATATAAATTAGACTGCCTAAAATGTTATCATACCTAAGTGATTAGTCAATGTAAATGTAGTACAGTGCAGACACATTTAAACAAGTAATGTTATATAGAACTAACCGGGAATTCCCAAAGGTGGTGTTCCTAGCCCTAAGCAACGCATTCTCCAAGCATCCTGAAGAAGCTGCAGTCTTGCCTGCTTTCGCCATTTTGCTCTACGATTTTGAAACCACACCTGCAAAAAGAATTTTAGCTGTAGTCATAAAAAAAGACAGAAAACATTTATACTGTTATAAATATGAAAAGAACTTTCTGACCATCAATTTAAATTTTAGTCTATTCTAGTTAAAACGAAACTATTGCCTTCAGTAGGTATCATTCACAGTCGCGCTAGGTTCAGTAACAATTAAACGTTTTTAATAAAATTCTGTTCTTTTATAAAATGTTCAACATTACCGAAGACATGACTTGATAGCATAGAAATAGTGAAATTTTAATTTGTGCCATTATTAATGATTTACCTACCGTTTCATCATACAATTAATTGTATATAACATTTTATCTATAAAAAACTTATAAATTTTGCAGCAAATGTGTTCAGAGAATTTATACCACTACCAGCGTTATAGTTAAAAGCATTGCCTACATTCGCGTTAGCGCGAGAGGTTGGGTTCAAGCATTTCCGTCCAGGGTACAGAAGTTTGATCAAAACCTTGTAAATATTACGAATGGAGAATCAGAATGTCACTATACTATTAGCTAATTTTACATACTTGAACTCTAGCTTCCGAAAGACTTATTCTTAACGCGACTTCTTCTCTCAAAAACACATCGGGGTAGTGAGTCTTCTGAAACAGCGATTCCAGCTCGCTCAGCTGCTGAGGTGTAAATGTTGTCCTATTGCGTCTTTGTCTTCGACGACCGAACATATACTCAGTGAGCAAATCTCCCGGCAACGGTGATAGGTATGGACCAGCCATAGTTCCTACACTTATCGAATCTCCTATTTAATTGATGAAAAGAGAATTTAAAAAATGACACATTCTACAACGACACTAAACTTCACGAATTCCACCGACAAGTCAAGAGAGGACTCCAGAGTGACACAACCCGTGCTAGACTATTTTCGTTTGACGGGATACACTGGTGAAAATCACAATAACTCCACCCCCCGACAATAGAAACGTGGCTGTTGATTGGCGGAGCGCGTTAGGGGTTGGAGGAACCGTCCAATCGCGGCGCCGTGTGAGGGGTAGTATTTCAAATAGGTGTAGATTAAGTTATGCCCGTAAATATAAATTCAGTATAAACGTGGTTAATTTAACGCCGTACTGGTTAATGAGATATCGGTTGTCAATGCTCTAATTAAAATGTAATTAAGAGCGGAGTTATTAATTTGTTAGCGTTTGCAGATGAGTTAACATGTTTCAATGTGGGAATTTTGCAAGGTCTTAATTAATTGGATTTTAATGGTGGACTGGCTGTTAGATTCAATTCAATATGGCTGATAAAATTAAAATGTATGTTATAGTAAATATCTTTTACTATGAGAACTTTAATATTTCTATATGGCACTATATAAATTAAAGATCGATTATAAATTGAATTGGTAAGAGCGAAAGCACGGACCGATGTGGATGCCGATTCAAATCCTGCCCGAGTCGTAATTTTTAAATTTATAATGGATTTATAATTCACCTTTTATCAAGTATTATTTTGTATGACGTAGGATTGTTTTTGGGTTGGGTTTATGGATGCTAAACGTTAAATATGAAAGGAATACTTTTTCTTTGGACATTCTTAAAGTTACAGACTGAAACTGAAACGAGTTTTAATTTCACGACGTTTTTCTCGGTGCACACTGGTTAAACGGTCAAACTTTTAAATTCATATGTGTAGTCCTTTTATACAAATTTTCAAGTCATTATGTACACAGTTTAATATATGCCTATTCTGTATATTTTTCTTCTTATTATTACTAATTCTATTACAAATTTGTGAGGAAATACGAATTATTATTTTATTTCTTTTATTATTCTTTAAATGTTGCATCCTATTTCCTCGGTGTCATAAGGTAATATATAAAATAAAAAATCTATTTAACATTGAAAATTATTTGTGGAAAATCAAGATGTGAAAAGAGTATAGTCAGTAATTTCAATCGTATAAAAAAGTGTTCTTTATTTAAAAAGTAATTAATTTTTTTGCTTTGTGTCTTTAATAAGTATTTGTATGTACCAAAGAAGGAATTCTTTCAGTATCTTCTCTATATACAGAAATAACTTGTAAATCGTATACAAATATTACATAAAACAATAATTGTGTACGAATGTAGTAGAGACTGCTAAGTGGGTTGCAGATAACGGAAACAGCGATCACTAGGAGCAAATGAATCACCCACAACAACCCAACATCAGGGCTGATTAATATTCTGCTATCGTAAAGTGACTTTAACTAATATTATCAGACTTAATACTAAAGACCGCCTCTATAGGGAAATGCTAAATGGTTAACTAGCATTGAGTGAGCACGAGAGAACAATAGATTATTACGGTCGGGCAGGGCACAGAAGTTTAATAAACTTGCCTGTAAACAAAACGGATCATTGAAACGAATACAGATATATGTTCGCCCCATGACCCAAGGGGGGAACGGAACCGTTGTTTTGATATCGTAGTAAGACCGAAAGGCTTACATAAATTTACTGTAAAATAATACGTAAATTAGTCGGCAATTAAAGCATTTTACTTTGTTATTCATAATAAAATATAATAAATAGGCCATGAGTTTCATTTTCAAACGAAATTTTCTGGCGGGTAGTTTTTAGAATTTCAATAAAGGATTATAATTCGGTTTTAACGATAAAGACTATTTATATTAACAACCGTTCTTGATATTTAATGTTTGTTTTTTCCAAGGTCTTGAAAGAATATGAAGTGTTAGTGCGAGGTTTTATATTTTTTTTGTTGGACATTTATATTTTAGTAACATAATTACCTCAATCAAGGACCATTCTTTTGAAATGGAAAAACGACGTAGCGTTTCAACCCTGGAACAGGGCGGCCACCACAACGGCGCTAAACGGGTTTCCGCAAACATTTTAATGAATAACACCGCCCCCCCACCCACAGCCCCCCCGGGCGGCCCGCAATGCGCTAATTAAACATTCGAGCCATATTGTTTGAGATGCGATGCTGAATCCCAGACCTCTGGATAATGCGCTGATTAAATTTGTTAATTAAAACTAAATTTTAATGTTAAACATTTATTCAAACGAAAATTAAACACATGTTTTTAAAGTGTAAACTTAATTCCTATTTATGATCGTAATTTTAAAACGCACATATTAACACATGTAATGAGAAACAATGTTGAACCCTTAAGTCCTTACTTTATTTTACATTGTAATAGTGTCATTTTATACTTATAGTCTATTATTTTATTTATTTTAAAAAACTTAGTATAAATAAAATACAACATAAATAGGTAAAAATTATTTTTAATATTATAATAAAAAACTTTTATTATTTATTTTTTCTTATAGTAGGTATATATTTAATTAATATATATTAACATTATTAAAAACTTTATTATTTTTGTCGACTTTGTAATTATTATTAAGACCTATTTCTTTATTAATCAATAATAATTATACGCAATACACTACTTGGATGGTCGAAAAGATTCAAAACAGTCGAGTTTCGGTCGAAAAGATCGGCTTGTCATGAAGGGTAATCTTTCAACTTTCTTTCTTGATTTATATAGATTTTTTTAACTTTTATAATAAGACTTTTGAATTGGCATGATCATCGGTATTGGCTCGTATTTCTAAGTACTTTTTAATTCATAGCTAACTCTCTACTTTGTATGACCTGATCCATCCTATGCTTTTATATGACATATAACCTTATTTTAAGATCTATGCTGCTTCTCCTCAACAAAGTGTTGCTTAATCGATCTCCTTTAAAACTTAGATGATTCACTAGAACAGTAAGTAAAATGAATCAATAAGAATTAAAAATAATAAATGTAAATGGCTAATTACACTAGCGACAAATTACAAAAGAGATTTACAAAGAATTTCCATACGACATTAAACAATTTCTGTACGAAACGCGAAAATTCCAAGGAGAAATAACAAAACTGCAAGCGTACCCGGTATGTCGGGCAGCTCAATTAGTTAATTAATCTTTTTTTCCGCGTTAAAATAGCATTTATAAACGAGACGCAAACCAGTGGGAAATACCTCCCCTGTTACATGGCTCAGGGCTGTCGAAAAACGTTTCTCTCTTATATATATTTAAAAAATCACTACAATTGTACAACTGATAATCGAGCACTTTGAAGATATATCAGGAGTTTAAGCGAGTAGTACAGATTTAAATAAACACTTGCGTAGTGGCCAAGCCGTTCGGACTGGCTGGTAAATGTATCCGAAACCTCGGCTGTAGTAAGAATAAATTGTATAATAAATATAAATTGTGTTTTGACCGCTAAGAGTGTTTTATTAAGACAATAGTGAACACATAAATAATGCATTACTGCTGTGGAAGAGTTAAGTAAATACTTACGCATTCTTTGTTTTAATATATTAACTAGCTGCCTGTAAAGTCCCAAAGAGTCGTTAATTTAATTCATCCATTTTTTATATACAGTGTATTCAATTAGCCCTTGATTAATAAGTTTTCATTTCCGCGTGAATAAGGCTAACAGAGGACATATCAAATTCTCAATTTTCATGCTGCAGAGAATTATGTATTAGATGCCTCTGTTGCCAAATAGTGAAACATGTTAACTAGCATTGCGTTAAGCGCGTGAAGTCCTGGCTTTATGTCCCGGGGAAACAGAAGACTCTTTCGTTCTGCAAGGACATAGATTCATCAACTAAAATTAACACAGAAACGTTACTTTACATATAATAATATTCGGGTTCACGAATGTAGGTCAATATAATTTTAGACACAACTAAATCGTTGTCAAATAATTCGTTTGACAGCCCTATCTGGGTACAGTCGCTAACAGAGTTTAGTTATTCGTTGCGCAGCGGTCAGACAATGGAGGCCGAGTGCGCAACTCCCGCTCCACATCACTTGATGCAGCTTAATTAACTTAGCTTGATTAGATTGGAGCATTTACGTAGTATACAGAACTAACCCTATCTCGCTACAATATCTACTTACATTCGCCATTTTACATGACAAGACATGATTGATAAGCTGCTTTTTCATCTCAGTGTACCTACTTCTTATGAGTAAATCTATCTTAGTATTCCAAAATTTAAAGACAAAGATTTTTTATAATCAATTTGAAAATAATTCTTATTACAGGGGACAAACAAGTATGGGGCTCACGTAATTAAAAAATGATATAATGTAATTCAATCCAAAACCAAAATTTTTAGATTTTCAGAAGGTATCATGGCACTGTACAATAAATAAAAGCTTAGCGATGATTATTGATTGATATGATGATCGATATTGAGACTCTAGCTGAATGATTTAACGTGTAGCTATAATATTGAGTTAAGCACGACGCGTCGTGAATTCGAAATTCCGAGAACCAACAGATCGTTTTGGTCAGGCAAGGCTTCGAAATCTGATCAACTACTTGCTTGTAAAGATCGTGAAATGACAAATATTTAGCTACTACCACGGAGGGAAATGGGATTTCATACAATTCATTTTATATTAAGCTTTTACATATAAATTGATAATTGGTACCAATAAAAATGTAAGTGCCGTAATCCCTAATTGATTCATGGGCGACAGACATATTACTGTGTCCCCTTTACAATTTACGTTGTAATTAGTTTTATTTTTATACTAATGCTTTCCTTAACTTAAAAAAAAAGAAAATAAGTTATTCGTTGTTTTTAAGTTTTTCCGAATTTACAACCTCTCCTACATACAATGCTATACAATCCCTTAAACCTATGAGCAACAGAGATAGTCAATTAAATGAAATAAAATATACATTTTAT